CCACCCACCGGTCCCCACCCGGGGCCGGCCGTATCCTGCTCCTTTTTGCTGAGCTGGCGCTTTTCCGCCTCCTGCAAGTCAGGGGGCCTGGCAGCCCCCCACTATCGCCTCCAAAAAAGGGACGACCACAGCAAGAAAATGTTTGTTTTTCCTCCTCCACCCCTCGGCCTGCCCCGGGGAGCTGCCAGAGAGGATTTTCTTCTTATTCACCGTGAAAATTAGAATAATAAAAAAAGGCAGGCCTGCTCCCCGCCGCGCTGTTTGTGCAGGTGTGCCGGGCTTAGCCGAAAAATCCCTGCTCCGGCAGTTTTCTGAGAGGGCGGCTCCTTCCCCTCCCTCTGCCCGGCAGTGCTGCGTCACACTAAAGGTTGTGAGCAGTGGGGCGTGGAGATGACCCTGAGTGACCCAGACGCACATCTTCATCCCCCATCCCATCCCGTCCCATTCCATCCCATCCTGGCAGCATCCTTCCTCCAACACCTCCTGGTGTCTTCATCCCATCTCATCCCAGTCCAGCCTTCCAACATTCCTCCTCCAGCACCTGCTGGTGCCTTCATTCCATCCCCACAGGCTCCTTCCTTCACCACCTCCCGCTGCACCCCTTTATCCCCCCCCCATCCCAGCCCCATTGAGTCTTCTCAGGATGCCTAGTTGGTTGTTAAATAGTAACATAAGCAATCCAAACTCATCCCCAAGCCCACAAAAGAGAGACTTTCCCAGCAAGGTGGTCAACACTTGGCCCAAGTGCCCCATCCATGGGTAATGATATCCTCCAGTGTCACCACAGCCACCATGACTCATGCTTAGTGGGTACCATCATCCCGTGGGCTTTCCAAAACCTGCTCCCATGCAAAAAAACAGACCTGGGCAACCCATTTGTACGAGGGCAAGACCAAAAATGCCATTGGAGATGGAGGAAAGCAGAAGAGAGGGGTTACGATGAGGAAGCCCCTGGCAACTAAATGACCTTAGGAGGTCCCTTCCAGCCCAGACATTCTATGATCCCTCCTGGGGGTTGGTCAAGAGTGGGGAGCACCAGTAAGATCCGTCACCTTGGTTGAACCTCACGAGGAGGGGTGGGCTATCTGCCCCCACAGCTTAGATGCCACGCACACTTGGCTTTCACCAGTGGAGGCCACCTTTGCATGAGATGATTCAGGCCCTCAGCAAGACTTGGGTGACACTTGGGTCTCCTGCAGTGCTCCTGAGCGGGAGACATGAAGACTTTCAGTGTCTCCTCCCCTTGTCTTTGTCAAAGCCTGATCTGGTGCATTTATCCCCCTCTGTTGGCCAAGCCACGCGAGATGTTCCTCTCCCACCTCCACCATGGCCTGGACACCTAGAGATTTATGGCTGAAAATGATTTAAACTCTCATCTTCCAAGAGGTCTTCATTAGCTGGTTTGGATGGAGGAAGGTGGATGACCCGTGATGCTCACACAAGCCCCAGTAAACTCCCTTATAAAAGCCGGTGGGATCTAATTGCTTAATTAACTCCCCAGGTACCCCAGTGAGGGACCAGGGATGCCGCACATTCCTGGCAGAGCTGGGTTGGATTAGGAGGCTCTTAAAGAGCTTAGGCGCATAATTAACATCTGATTCGGCTTTATAAAGTGTTTTCACCAATTAAGAAACCTGCCATAAGGGTGGTCCTGCAGGTGACAGACTTGGAGGGGTTTTTTGGTGACCCCAAGGAAGGTGACAACTTTCCCCCAAACAAAACTTGGCTGGAGAGAGCAGCAGGTGGCCTGGAGGAGAGGCCAGGCAGTGGGGTGGCCCCAGAGAGCCACCTCCCTGGGCTGGTCGGATTGTCTTTATTCCCTTCTTTAGGTTTATTAAGGAAAAAACTGAAGAGGGAGGCTGGGGGCTCCTGCACCGAGAAGTGGATGTCCTGTTGGGTGGCTCATTGGGCAACAAGGGCTTTACACCATCACCCTTTGTCCCAGCTTCCAGGGATCCTGGAAGGACACAGTCTTTGCCAAGAGGGGGATGATAAGCTTGGCAAGCATCTCTCCATTCCCCTCTGCTGGGTCAGCTGCAAGGCAGCCGTCCCGCCCCAGGGGCATGGGACCATCAGAACTCCTCATCCCTCGTTCCCTCCATCCCTTGCCCGGCAGGAGCGGCTGCTCCCGGCGAGGCAGGCAGAGGTCCAGAGGAAGATCCTCTCTGCACAAAGCCTGTCCCCAAGCTCTTTCCCACACATCGGCAGCAGGGCCGGCCGAACCTCAGGCTGACCCAGCCCGGCTGCTCTCACGGCGTTTACTCGCTCACACGCAACGGGGCAGGGCTGGGATGAACATTTCCCCAAGCACGAACCCTCTGGGATGGGTTTTTCTCAGAAACCAGGGACGGAGCTGGGTGGGTTATGGGGTCAGACAGGTCACAGGCTCCAGCTGAGATGGGTTTCCCAAGGGACAGGCAGGGAACAGATGCCCCAGGCTGCCCCTCCCCACGCCCTTCAGCCTTTGCTTCCAGTTCCACCACGGAGAAAAAACACTCTCAGCAAGCCTCAGCCAAAAGCCACAGGATTTCATCAGGATCGGGGTCAGTAGGACGTGAACTGATGGCGTCGCTAGTTGGTTCTCTGCTGCGCCAGCCCAAGGGGTGATGGGCCCACGATGGGGCACTCCAGATCCACCTGTGAACTGAGCGTGCCCCAGCACAAGGCACATGGCCAGGACAACCTGGGATACGGCACCGCCCCACCTCAGGAGCACAGCGTGACCCCAACCAGTAGTAAGCAGCCAACCCACAGATGCAGGACAACCTGGGACAAGGCACAACCTGGGCACTTGCTCCACAAAAGCAGAATGACCAGGGACGTAGCACAGACCCACCCCACGAGCACAGCGTGCCCCCGTCCCACAGCACAGACCCACCCCATGAAGGTGGGATGACCTGGGATACCGCACAGACCCACCCCAACAAGCACAGCGTCCCCCTATCCCACAAGTACAGGGTGACCTAGGACCCACCCCACGAGTACAGGATTACCTGGGACATGGCACAGACTCACCCCACAAGCATAGAGTCCCCTGGCCCCACAGCACAGACCCACTCTACCAGCATGGGA